GAGTGAGTGAGCCTTAAGCCATGAACAGCTGTACTGGTATTAAAGTTGTGTTTTCCCCCAACACTGTCCAAGGGCAGTCTCAAGCCATGTAACCCATTACCTTGTCAGGTGACTGGCAGTGATTTAAAAAGAAAAGCATACAGGCAACCAGTAGTTTTACAACAGATATAGCAAAGTTCATGCTGATGTAGTTTCCTGCTGACTCAAGGATGGGTGGAAACCACTTCAACTCACCAGTGGGGAAAAACGCTCCCCTAGACAAGGAACTCAATTGGAATAGCACCAAGTGACCATAGTGCCCTGAATCTAGATGAAAAGCTGTTTTATATTTTCTTTTCCTATTAGCAAGCTGAAGCTAATATCCCCAGAAACAGAAAACTCAGCCTGTCTCTTAGTGCTGGGTAGGTCATAAACCCAGTGCAGGACAATTTTTTTCAGCACTGCAACACAATCCTGCTGAGTTTAATTCTCTTGATATCTGGTTGAAGTTTATAAGAGTAATGATGCTCTTCTCACATCAAGCTGAGAGGCTGTTTGACAAGGAGAGTTCTACAAGGAAGTAAAAAAAAATAATTCTGCCTAGGCAGATTTACTCCTGCAATGCTGAGAATGGCTGCCACAGTACACAAATATGCTGCCAAGGGCAGATGGGACAAGGGTGACAGGATTAATCCCAAATGCTGCACCAAAATGAACAGCTGGTCCTTGCACTGAAATAAAGAATACATAGAAGCCATAATCAGTACTGAAGAATGCAGCTGATTTTGTAGTTAGTCATTGATACCATTATACAAAAAGAGAAGCAGAATCTAGTCTTCTGCACCCATTTAAACTTATGAGTTTTCAAAGAACATATTTGCTCTGTCCTAACACAGAATATTATTATGGTATTTTCTGCTGTGAAAATTACATTATGACAGTGTAGTATGTGAACCGTGTTATTGTACAGTTAAAACTGTATGAAAGGGTTCACAGTGTATAAAAGTTACTGCCCTGTAGTCCTCAGGAGTCAAGAATGACTCAAAATCCCCCACCCCTCCAAATTTAGAGTTCTCTACCATCATTTAGGTAGGTCACTGCAGTGGCCTCCAGCACAGAACAGCTGACGGTCACAAGGCAGATGGGTAAATGCATGTGTGCTTTCGATGGGAAAAACTACTTTGAGAGACTATCTTACAGAAAACAATCTAAAATTGGACCTATGTCCACACTTCTGCTGGCATGTTCCATTTTAGGAGACTGGCATATTTTGAGTCACATGAAAAAAAAAAAAGTATGGTGCTACAGCATGTCTAAATCCTTTTTTGTTACTAACATAATTTTGAATTCCTAATGCATTGATGATTACACAGAACTTACATCTTTGTATTTTTCCATGGTTTTGCTTTTTTCCTTACTTGGCTCCCTAATATTCCTACTTGGCTCCCTGGTTTTGCTTTTTTCCTACTTGGCTAGCAAACTTATATTAACTTACTGAAAATTCTCAATCTAGCTGGGAGTGACACATGTACTTCAGGAACTGAATTATATATTGTATTGATGCATTTTTAAAAATATATGTTTCTTAAACATTTGCAGTAACTTTCCAATGGGTCCTAAATTGTTTGCCTCTGTATGACATGTATGGGATTCATCAGCTTTTTAGCCCTTGTGCTTCTGCTGATACAGTGCTTATATATATCAGATAAATTTTATTTTTTCATAAACAGATGTCTTCCATTTCATGGTGCTGGCAAAATATTTAATTCTCCATATAATTATTGCCATTTATTTGAGACAGTAAAGCAACATAACATTTTTATATATCATACTACCACCTAGTGGAGAGCTGTTTCTTCATACACTAGTGACATCTTATACCACAGGCTGCACATGGAATTCCTGGATTATTTTAGTTACCTCCAGCTAGTAGTTTGACAATAATCATGATTCCAAGAAAGTAATGTAAGCTAGAGTACCTAAATAAAGATCTATATGCATGTACATATAGCCACCAGGGAATTCTAGGGCTGTAGGCTAGACTGGAAAGTTTAAAAAAAAAAAGGTGGAAAAATGTAATAGCAAGCACTTCTGTATTATTGTCAAGAAAACTACACGACATGTCTATGAAATAACCAAGAGCTGATTTCAGCTACAAGGAGATCATACCATTACTTTACAGTCTGTAACAATTAGATGCATGGAAGCTGATTAAAATAAAAGGGTTCATGTACTTCTAATTCTGTACGAGATTGAATTGTGTATCTCAAATTGATTTAAATCCAAACATCTTTCCCTATATAGTTTGTGAAGAGGAATTATACTATAGAAGCTTCTTGACATGAAGAAGTTACATTCTGGCAAAACATGCTATAGTTTTGCTTCTACCTGTTTGGGATTAAACATTTCACATTATTCTCTTTTGTCAAATTACTATATTCTACAGACTCTAGATTCCTATGGAATGAATCTTCCATGGGATTAATTAATGATGTGCAGCATATTTACATATAATAATGAGTTGTATATTTTTTCATATAAAATGTTGATTCTTTAAAAAAACCCCACTGAATTGGACTGCTCTGTACACCTAAGGCTCTAACCAAACCATTGAAAAATACTCTCATTACATTAAATATTTTAAAAGAAAGTGAAAGAATTGTCAAGACACATAAATGACAGTAATACAAGTTTCTCTGCTTTGGTTTTAATATTTTCCTCTTAGTTTTACTGAAAACTAATTTTGTACCAATATAGGAAAATAATGCGAGTGAATGAGTATAAATACAAAATTAAGAGGAAATCTGCCTTTACAAGTACAGTACATAACTGCTTTAAATGCATCGAACATCTCTCCAATATAGCAGTTTTCTGTAACAAACTGAGCTTGTAGCACTCAATCAGATTGAGTTTTTCAGCATAGCAGAGTTATAACACTGTATTCTGCGGACAAAATAAAAATAGCGACAATTTTACGATGCCATGAATGAAGTTGTAGATGTTTTCAGGAGACTTAAACACTGCTGACTTAGACAAAGAGCCTATGATGTCCAGAGACTGTTGGTTTGCATTTATTAAGAGCCATCATGGGCTCTTTGTCTAAGTCAGCAGTGATAGCTGCGCCTCTAAAGCAATGCTAACAGTACACAGATCATTCCTGATGCTCTCTTATCTTCAGTTTAAAATTATTTAGAAATGTGTCTGATTATATCAGTACTGGTTCCATGCTAAAGGTTTTTATGCTAGTTAATTCCCATGTGTATTTCATTGGGTAATAATTGCAAAACAAGCAAAAAATAACCAAACTGAAAACAGTTCACTGCAAGGAAAAATAGTTACATAGATCTAGCCATGTTAGCTTTTTGGATTTCTGTGCCATCTTTCTAAACCATATTCATGGTTACATGTTGTCGGTCTAGGGATGAAACCATAAAAAGCAAGTAACAAAAATCATTATCATCATCATCATCATCATCATCATCATCATCATCATCATCATCATCCAGCTTTACAGCAAGATTTTTCTTCTCTTCAGAATTCATCTTCTTCCTCAGTAGTGTTGACAGTGTTTTGGCTACACTGTTAGAGAGCCCAAATTCTACTTACCATCTAATTTTTCTATGAGATGACAAAAAGAGGGAGGGGAGCAGGTGTTACCCCATAACTAATGTGAAGAGGGTCCAGATGGAAAGACTGGATGGACAAAAATTGCACTGTGACAAAGAGGGCTCAAACAAGAAAATTAAAGATAGAATTAAATTAGGGATGCCTAAAGCCTATTAAATCAATAGATCTGGACCAAATTAATTCTACACAGACTTGGTGTATAAGCTCCCTTCAAGAGATGTCTATATTTTAGAAATGAGATGATACCCATAAAATATTATTCTGACTGCAAGTCTAATTGTTCAAAAGCTTGTAGATTTTCAAGCAGGGTTCCTCAGCCTTTCAAGCAGGGTTCCTCAACCTTGGCAACTTTAAGACTGATGGACTTCGACTTCCAGAATTCCCCAGCCAGCAAGGGGAATTCTGGGAGTCAAAGTCCACCGGTCTTAAAGTTGCCAAGGTTGAGGAACCCTGGTATAGAGTACACTTACAAACCAGGTTATCTCCAGGTCATGCCACAATGAATCACTGGCTACGCAGACAAAATATTCATTTAGCATATTGTGGACCCTATGAAATCTTCCATGTATGGGTGACCTTGGTCCATACAAGTTTTAAAACTGAAAGCATATTTTAAAATTGAAAGCATGTTTTAAGATGAATAATTGCTATGGGATTTTATGCACAGGTAACATTTTATGAACTACAGAAAATAACTGACATTATAGCATAATCCTAAGTGTGTTTACAATGGAAGCTTGAGTAGGTTCAATGAAATTTCTTTCCTAGCACTTATAATTAAAACCTGGATTCATACATTGTATTAAACCATAAAGTGGTTTGTTTGGTGTTTGCTTAGAAAGTTCTATAAATCCAGTCACTATGATATGTAAACATATCTATAGCTTAATTGGGGCTTATTCAACAACCCCTGTTAACAAATTATGACTAAGCATGACATATGAACCCAGTCCAGTCACAGGCTCAATAACTCTGCTTCAGCAGGAAGCTTTGCTTGTACGGAATCACGAATTACTTCTGACAAAATGAAATAATACATTACTCTGCCTACACCCTATCCAATAATATAATATGGATAAATATGGCGTCATTGCAGAAGTATCCCGAGCAATGTTACAATAGATGTTGTGCTGTAATACTCTGCACATAGTTTGCAAGATATTGGCTATAATTCTAATGCTCCCAGAATATATTTTTAAGCTCAGTAATTCAAATTCCTGCACCATGTAATGGAGGATCCAAAAATTAGCATAAGTGCAATGGGCAATTGCATTTAGCTACTATTCTTTCTCCAAACCTCTGAAAAGCTATAATCTGTACATAAGCAACCACAAAAGCCTGGCCAGAACATTTGTACCTTTGCTTGTACCACAGTGAAAGGATCAGCCAAGTGTCTAGTTATGACTCAAAATGGACACCAGGTATTGCTTCTTTGCCCTTTTCGATGTCCCTGGATTGTTTCTGCTTTTCTGTGGATGTTTTTGGTTTTTTGATATGTTCCTCTGTTTCTGCCTTGTGTGTTTCCAGTGCCTCATAAAAGGCTCTTCGTGTCCATGGATTTGGAGGGATTCCTAACCAAGGCTGAAGCATAAGTAAAAACACAAGCAAAATATCAGCAGATAGAAGTGAAAACACATAGACTGTGCTCCCCAGTGCTGGCCTGCTTGTGGCTCCCGCTGGCCTACCCACACTCCCTAGCACCCACCCGTAGCCCTCACCAGCCCACCCGCACTCTAGCACCTGCCCGTGGCCCTTGCTGGCCAGCCCATGCTCCATGGTGCCCGCAGCTGCCACTGACCCACCCATGGCCCCCATGCACTCCCTTGTGCCCGCCTGTGGCCTCTGCCAGCCCGCCCATGCTCCCTAGTTCTGACCCACCTGTGGCCCTCGCTGGACCACCTGCAGCTCTTGCCAACCCGTCCACGGTCCTCACTGGCCCGCCTGCACTCCCTAGTGCCTGCCTGCGTCCCCCACTAACAACTGGCACACAAGATGGATTTGTGCAAAGGCCCTCCTGACCATGGTTGAAATTTGTTATTTCCTATCCAGACTCTCACAGCCTCCAGACGTTTGAAAATACATTGATGGCATTACTTGGTGTGACCTTGGATAGAGATGTATAACTGAGTCCATACTGATGGATGACTTCATCCAGCAGTTTCATGTAGATACTAAATAAGGGTGGAGAGAGAATAGAATCCTAGGGACTCCCTACAAACACTGACTGAAAATGACAATGGAGAAAGGACAAGAACCAGCATAACAGCTTAACCAGTGAGGTTTCACAGCTCCATTCTCTCACTGATCCAAAAAGTGGGACAGCATACCTGCAGGACAGGACTGAGGATGACTACCTTAATCTCCTATTACCTGATTCAGAAGGTGGAAATTTCAGGTAGTGTAGCTAGGGTCTGTATACTGGCTATGATGAAATGTAAACCATTGCTTCAAGTGGGGTCAGTCTGAGCATTGTCTTGTGTTAATTTAATTTTATATGTGCCGTGGTATGTTATTTCAGTTGTACTATGTTTTCATTTTGATTTTTATTATGATTATTATTTCTTTAAGTTGATCTAGTCTAAATCTGCATAATAACCTAAATTAAACTCAATTACCTGATGAGGTGTCACACAGAAGACTTATGGGTTTGATGATTATAAAGGTTATAGAAAGAAGGGAATTATGATGTGATCTTTATATATTTTTTTTCATGTTTTCTGTTCTTTTATTTTTTTTTTCTGTCTCTTTTTTTGGTCTCTTCCTTTCCTTTTTTTCTTTTTGCATTTACATTTTTTCTTTGAATGTATTTATTATATATGTAAATTTTTAAAATAAAAACTATTTTTTTAAAAAAAGGGGGAGTGTCACACAGGTCATGTCCTGTTTTCTTATCCTCCCAGAGTTATAGGAAGTAAAATTCTGATTACTAGGAAAAACTTAATAACTGCAAGAACAGTCGACAGTAATGCCGATTGCCCAGAGATTTGGTTTCGCTTTCACTCCATGGGTTCAAGTAAATGTTGGAGAGTCATCTGTCGGGGATCCTTTAATTATGATTCTTGCATTAAACGGAATTAATTAATTTAGGTGCCATCAAATCAGAGTCGTCTCCTAGTGACCGCATGGACAAGCAGCCTTTCCAATTTAATGTTTCAGGATATTATCTGCTGTACCCCCCCCCCAAATTCGTTAACCCCATAACCTATAATTAAGAGCGTCCTGTGGACACGGCCAGAGACTCTATAAATCACTGGAGTTGGAGGTACAGAAAGCAACGTGGTGCTCACTTCGTTGGGAGAAACCTCAGGGAATTACAGTAGCCATTCTACTGTGCTAAATTATGTAGGCTACGAGGGAGAGCCTCAAACCACAATCTCGTATGATTGCAAACTCAGCGGCACCGTGGCACAGTTCCATCCCACAGTTACGTGGGAAGGGCAGGCACGGAATTTTATATTAAACTAGGGACGCCGGTGAGAGCGAAAATAGTTTAGGCTCGAAACATTCCACTCGCCCTCTTCCTCTTCGCCGTCAGAGCGAAAAGGCGGGGCTAAGACGTGCACAGGAAGAGCAGAAGGGAAAGAGCACGCCTTGCCCGGAAGCCCTCCGTCGCGTAACGCCCGCGAGGCGCGCTGTCCTCGTTCCGAGCGCCGGCATGGAGCTGCTGAGCCCACGTGTATCTGCTCGTTCGGCCTATAATTCATTCTTGCCTCTTGGCGAACCGGCACAGCCGAAACCACCTCCCAGCCCACCTCGTGGTCTTTCGCTTTCCCTGAGGCGCCGGAGAGTCAAAAAGCGGCAGCTGAAGGGGTCAGCAGCCAGGAATTGCCCTGTTGCATCCGAGGCGGCCGACGGGAAGCAGCCTAGAGACGCGTTCCCGCTTTCGGGTGCGAAGGAGAAACGAAGAGTGAAACCGAACAATAGCTTGAGTTGCAAATATTTGGCTGCCTTGCAGAGCCGGCAGAAAGCATGGCGGAGGAAGCCGGAGCGCGGACGGGCAGACCAGAAAGCTCCAGAACCAGCACCACCTCCTGCTCCGCCCCATGGAGGAGGGGAACCCTTCTGCTCTCCGGAATTTCCTTCGGGCTGTTCTCTCCGGTGCCTCCTCCAAGAGCTGGGAAGCGTCCAGCATAGCCGGGAGCGAGCTGCCAAACTGTTCCAGTGGCTCATAGCTCCTGTTCCCTCGCAGGAATTCTTTGATCAGTACTGGGAGAAGAGACCGCTTCTGATCCACAGGCGCAGCCCAAGTTATTATCAGGACCTCTTCTCTACGGCTGAGTTTGATAACATCCTACGCAACCACAATGTCCAGTTTGGTGTCAATTTGGATGTGACCAGTTATGAAGATGGGAAGAGGGAGACCCATAATCCTGTGGGCAGGGCAGTGCCAGCTGTGGTCTGGGATTTCTACAAGAACGGCTGTTCCCTCAGGATGCTGAACCCTCAGGCCTTTTCAGTTACCATCTGGCATTTCCTGTCCGTCCTACAGGAGCACTTCAGCAGTATGGTTGGTGCCAACACTTATCTGACTCCTGCTGGTACTCAAGGCTTTGCCCCTCATTATGATGATATAGAAGCTTTTGTGATTCAGCTGGAAGGAAAGAAGCATTGGCGGGTTTACAGCCCCAGGAAGCAGGGTGAGATGTTGCCTCAATTTTCAAGTAGCAATTTTAGCCAGATGGAGATTGGCGAACCAATTCTGGAGACTGTCTTAGAAGCTGGGGACCTGCTGTACTTTCCCCGTGGGTTTATACATCAAGGGGATTGCCTCCCAGAGGCACATTCACTCCACATAACGGTTTCCTCTTATCAGCGAAACTCCTGGGGAGACCTGTTGGAAAAGCTTCTCCCTGTAGCATTGCAGATGGCCATTGAAGAGGACATTGAATATCGCCAAGGCCTCCCTGTAGACTACCTGGAATACATGGGTGTCATAAACACTGATGCTGTTGATCCACGCCGAGCTGTTTTTTTGCAGAAGATCAGGACTTTAGTCACTAAACTAATGGACTATGCACCAGTTGATGCTGCAGTGGATCAGAAAGCCAAGTCTTTTCTTCATGACTGTCTTCCTCCAGTGCTGACTGAGACTGAAAAAGCATTGAGTGTTTTCAGGCATCCAGCACGGTGGGAGAATGGAAGTGTGCAAAATGTTGATGTCCAGCTCAAGAAAACTACACAAGTACGGCTACTTCGATATGGAATTGTCAGGTTGTGCAATGAAGGAGATGCTATGTTGCTGTATTATACCACAGAAAACTCAAGAGTGTATCACAAGGAGGAGCCTAAGTATTGTGAAATAGAGCCTGAATACATAGATGGAATTGAATTTTTGCTATCCTCTTACCCAAAATACATCAGTGTGGATGCCCTTCCTTGTGGTTCTTTGAATGATAAGATTGCCCTGGCGACTTTCTTATTTGAGAAGGGGTTGGTGATTACTAAAAACCCTCTTTTATCTGTGTAACATACAAATAAATGGATTGTAAGAAGATGCTTTTCTTGTACTTACTAGTAAATTTAAGATAGCAGTCCAAAGCTTTGAGAACTTCTGGCTTGGAGTTCGCGTTTGATCTACACAGATAAACAGATACATATATATTTTTTAGATAAGCTATAAAAAGAATAAAGAATATAACTTAATCTGTATTTTAAAATGTTTATAACGTAGTATTTAAGAGTAAATCAATTTGCAAATCAGTTTTTGTCTTTTAAATTGTGAGCAAGATTAACATATTAAAAAAATTCCAGTAAAGCTTGCAACAAACATAAATGGTAGACTTAAAGCTTTTCCACTTGGGGAAAAAAATGTAAGAATTGTTTACTTAAGTTTTTTTGATTAGAAATTAAAACATGTACCAGATGTACATCTAATATAGTTGGTTAGTATAGAGCAGAGAAACATGATCAGACACTAGTTCAGGTATGCAGTGGATCTACTAATTCCTTGTGCAACTCTTGACATTGATCCTACAGATCCTACAGACTTTATAAACTAAGCAAAACATTGGCAGAATTAATTTCTGCTCACGATTTTTAAAGCTCATATTTTAAATATATTCTTTATTTCAGAGGCTCTCTTTCTGTAACTATTCTCTATTATGTGAAACAGATTTATTTGTTTATTTGTTTTCTATAGCTACCCATCTCAACAAGTGACTCTTATAATAGCTTTCAAGCTACCTAGAAGGAATTATCATTCCATTTCATTTCATTTCATCCCACATTACCAGCGAAAGCAGTTTTAACAACGTCAAGGAAGATGGCACAAATATCTCTATATGCAAAGATGTCTCCCTTGTTCCGATAAATGCGGTGGGCTTCATGCCACATCTTCTCTATTACTTCTTGAAGTTTTAGTACTTTCTTAATCACTAGGGGTGTTTGGCTCAATGTGGAAATCTGCAAAAGGAATTGTGCATTTTATGACACCATTTATCAATATAACTGTACCCATTCACAGTTCTTGTGTCATCACACTAAAAAGAGATTGCCTTGTTTCTGCGAACATGGA